GTTCAGTATTAAAATGGACCACCCTGTAATGTGGTTCAGTATTAAAATGGACCACCCTGTAATGTGGTTCAGTATTAAAATGGAACAACTTGCAATGTGGTTCAGTATTAAAATGGAACAACTTGTAATGTGGTTCAGTATTAAAACAGAGCACTCTATAATAAAATTCTGTATAAAAATGAACCACTTTATAACTTGATTAAATATAAAAATGAAACATTTCATGATATAACTCCAAGTAAATAATAAGTTACATTCATATAAAAAATCCACTTTGCCAGCACATTAACTACAATAAAAGCTTTACAGAAATAAGCCTGTTCACAACACTGCCATTAGTTATTTTTCTGATATCCCATCTTCTGATAATGAAAAGTAAAATGTTTTTGAATAATAAACAGGACTTCAAACACAGTACAAATAAGAATAACCTTTGTTCTGTTTCTTTTTGTCTTTCTTGTTCTTCTCTTTGTCTTGCTTCTTCTTCTAACTTCTGTCTCTCTCTTTCTTCTTCCTCTCTTCTCTGTCTCTCTTCTTCTTCTTTCCTAATTTGACAAGAAAACAGTATGTGATCTGAAAATCTGCATCAGCATTTGGCTGATCATTATTTATGTAGTTCATAAAATCTAATAGTACTCTAATGACTCCCCATGTAATAATGTATGATGATTATAACAGCTCCAAGATGTTTAAAAGAAAAAATATTCATGTCACTAACTATCAAGCACAACTGAAAAACAAGGAGATTATTTTACAAACAAGTTATCAAACAAACAATTAAAAATATTAAAAATAAATCAGAACAGAAAATAATTATAGCTTGTACAATTGTATGTATATATATATTTATATATATATTACATGTGTATGTAAATCATTCACACTTAAAGTATTAGTTGGCTAAAAGTATATCTTACTTTTATAATTCAACCTGACATACAAATTTATAATAACTATGGAAGATGAAACTGAAACAAGTGTAGCAACATTTCCCAAAATAACACTTACAGCTTGTTTGTTTTGAATTTCGTGCAAAGCTACGCGAGGGCTATCTGTACTAGCCGTACCTAATTTAGCAGTGAAAGACTAGATGGAAGGCAGCTAGTCTTCACCACCCACCGCCAACTCTTGGGCTACTCTTTTACCAACGAACAGTGGGATTGACCGTCACATTATAATGCCCCATGGCTGAAAGGGCAAGCATGTTTAGTGTGACGGGGATTCAAACCTGCAACCAGCAGATTGCGAGTTGAGTGCCCTAACCACCTGGCCTTGCCAGGCCAACACTTACAGTCATGGTACAGTTAAAACAAGAGTTGTTTCATTCATTAGGTACTTAAAAGATCTATAAATTAACTAAATTTTATAAATTTCATGATGTTGACAAATTCCCACAAATGTAAATAATATAAGAGACAGAAAACATTCAATCAATGACTGCTATTAGTCTCAAAACATTCAATCAATGACTGCTATTAGTCTTTTTATTCTTTAAGAATATCACTACTTAAATCTTGTAGTCTGAAGCCAAATAGTTATAAGTACAATGGTATACACACATATACAGCACTTAATAACTGCAGAGAAGCATGAGAGAAATACTGATACATTTATTCTACTATCAACTACAGTTCAGTTTCAAAACAACTTGATGTCAGTATATCAACAGTACATGTAAAGTACATTAAATAACCCTAAACATGTGTGCCTATTTTGACTGGAAAAATAAACCCCCCACTCGTAAGCAACTCACTTCAGTCGTTCCTTTTCTTCCAAATCTCTTTTATGTGCTTCCACATAAGGTCGGAAAAGTGGACAAGCAGAATCAAGAAGGTTAACAAAGCCTTCCATGGCATCGGCTTCAGACATGTCTCCAAGAGTGGCCCAAGCTTGTCTTGTATACAAAATAAATTCAAAGTAAATAGCAGTTAGTAGTATTTTTATAACAATAAAAACTCCCACATATTATGTAGTTATACAATTGTATCCAAAGTAAAACAAAAAACATTATTTTTATAACAAAAACCTTCAAACACAGAAATTGCTATTGGTAAAACATAATAATATCTATTTGGGCATCATTAAATATGAATTGAATGAACTTAATCCACTGATACATTTTCATAACGATACAACTTATTTTTTTTGCATCAAAACCCTTGTTTAAATTGAATTACTTGCAGTGAATGAACTGTTAAACATCAACATCATCCAGAGACTTGGAGAGTTTCAATATGGCTAAAACTGAGAAAAATAATTCACTTTAAAGAGGAAAAAATGAGCATAAATGAAAAGAAACTCAAGTAGATATTGTTCAAAATATTCAGTGTAGTTCAAAGAACATTATATTTTGTTGCAACTGGATGTTTTAATAGAAAGGATGTCCAAGATATCATCCAAATGAGAGAGCAATATAGTTTGAATGATTAAAACAATTCAATCCAAAAACATTCAGAAGTAAATAACATACATATGATATACATTGAGTTATAATCAGTTATAAAACTTTTCAAAGTTATTGAAGATGAAAGGCAGAAGACTTTCAAAACGTCATCCTCTACACTCGTGTTTCTATAACAGGAAGTTGCCATCCATTCAACTAATTTTCATTATTGAAAGGTAGTTGTAATGATGTCATCTACGTGGAAAAGACTAACATCCCAAATTTTAGCATGATGAATCATTCAAACTCTGCAAAGAATCAGAAAAACTGAAAGAACAAATGAAAAAATTATGTAAGGGCTAATTAAATAAATGCTGAGATTTTTAGAAATTCTAAAAGATGTTTTGTGTGGAGATGTGTCCATAAAAATTAAGTGAGAGTTTAGGCAAAACAGTAAAACATGGTTCATCACAAAATAGCCCTGGCTTCAAATAATAACACCATAATGACCCAAAACAAATTAATACACATCACTTGATAACTAGCAAAGAAGTGTGAGAGAAATACTGATACATAATGGAAGGAGGTGGTGGTGAAGTAAAGAGTTGACGATTGAAATTTACAAACTCGTCAGCCCAAAGTCTCAGTGTTAATCTAATTAAAAACCTGTGACATCAGTTGAGAAGCAATATCACAAAAGAGCAGCCAATAGTAAAGAAACTCTGAAAGATTGTACAGCAACAAATGCAGGAAATACCAGTTGATTATGTAACAAAAATGTCTGATCAATGTTGTCATATAATTGAAGCTAAAGAAGTTCAGGGGTTCCATTAACAAACATACTGTATATTACATCAATAAAAAGGATCAAAATGCTTATTGAAACTTTTAAAAGGTACAGAAACATTTACAAACGAGGCTGTATGTTTTACTGAGAAATATTGCCCATAAATACTCATTTATACAGTCGTGAGGTGAAAAGGGTGGGGATTTCAGCATTACTTGGGCTTTGTGTAATTTATACTCATGAAAGGACATTCAACAGGTATTGAAGGATGACTGAATAACATTTGTTCACACTTTTCCCTTCCCTGCCTTTATTTCCAGTTGAACAATGGATGACATCATAGTGAACCTGCACCTTTCCTTCTAATTTTGTGACTGGTCAGAATTAGGATTCTTATTTACATAAAGTACATCTCACATGTATTAGAAACTACTGAGAATATGATCAACTACAATGTTAATAAAAAAAAATCTCTGACCTCTACTGAAATGAAACAGTTAAACCCCTTATTGCCAGGTGACAATGCAAAAAAATCCAGGTGTATGCACATAAAAGTCAACTACTTGTAACATTAACTATTACAAACAATGGGATAAGATGGCCAAGTGTAGTAATAAAACAAATGATAGACTTCATTAGACAAATTTCATTTTTCTACTCAATGAAATCCACGAGTCGTGTCAACTACTGTTTACTCAACTTATGTTTCAAAACCAACTCCTTAAACCTCATATTCTCATACTGGGTATAAATATAACAAATAAACCAAAGAAAACATTCCTTTCATGACAACTTGAGTATTGATACATTTGACTCACACTTTGACTGATACTGTATACAAAATCTACATAATATATTTCCACTTACTTACTATCAAATTTAATAAGCCTTCATTAATAAATAAAAAAAACCGATAAATTCTTGTGTTTTCTACAGGTGATCCTATCAAAAGAGCAAAGGTTTTTACAGTCTTTTCTTATACGATTTACCAATCTTTTTTTTAATCCTACATATTTTTTACTATTATGTTCATTAATAAATGAATATGGAAATCGAATATTATCAAATTAGAAGGAATAATTATTTGATCATACAAAATGTACATGTCACGCATTCAATAACATTTAACCCTAGAATTATTGATGGGTTTTATCATAGTTTTAATGAGTACCACAGTTTTAAAGACTCACCCAGTGTTTGAAATTCTAACATAATTTCACATATTTTTTTCTTAAACTTCTCCAATATTACTGAAATAAATCCAGCCACATGTCTTTTATGTTACTTATTACAATATTTAATATTCTGTGTATTATGGTTTAAATTTATTTAATTCAATCACAAGTCAAAAGTTTAAATATTAACAGTTCCAATACAGTTAAAATACCAATCATTATTTAATAAATGTGTATATGTTTTATACATTTATGTTATATGCTTCTGTATATAAACTGTTCTTGAACTATTATTATGAAGAATGATACTGTATTAGGTCTAAATAACTTTTTCTCATTTTCTCTTTAAAAATGCAATCCATATCACTCTCACTTGTTTTTCCCCATAATTCTATTATAATATAAACATGCATAAACAGAAAAAAAATCAGAAAGTAAATTCAGATCCCTCATAAATTGTGAAATTCAGTACTGACAGATACTATATTAAACACACAGCCATACATTTAATTAAAAAGATTCAAACTTTATTCTGCAACTTCCTGCCGATTATGTAACCTAATTGATGTGATATTTCAATGAAATTATATACAAAAAAGCACAATACTTTTATGGGGTTTCTTTTGATGTCACATATTAATAAAACTAGTACATTTCAATAATATATCCTTAATTTAAGCTGTGTATTGTTACACCAGTATTGCTTTCACTAAGTAGTTAACTTCAAGGTATTTTTCATACTTAAGTAATTAAGATGCAATTCAATAATGTTGAGTTTTTATCATAAGATCTCACAGCGAAGTTTGTAACTTCCTCACCAAATATTTAAAATGTCAGAAAAAGGGAAAACAACAAATTTCAAAATGATAAAAATCATTTAGTATATACCCAAGCTACAATAAAACAACAATTTCCTAATCAGTGTAATACAAAAATTAATCACATCTGTCCCAACAATGTTTCATTTACTGCAACCATGCAGCATGTGTTACAACCTATATATCGGAGAAACAGCTGTAAGATTGGTGTTTCTTCTACTACTAGCCCTGATAAAGCTGCAATGGCAAAACAATGGCTGAAATAAAAAGTTTAACATTATCTGGAGAGTAAAGTTAGTTTAACTTTACTGCCAGAATGGAAAATTTATTTTCAAATAATTTTTTACCTATTTTCTCGTAAACCCAACCTATTTCTAGACAAGATTACTTAACACTTATTCTTATATTCAATTTCTCTTACTAATACCTTGTTGAAAGTCTTCCCTGAAAACAAGTAACAGACTATTTTACTTGCTTATTTGTACACAGTTGCATGGTGAATTATAAGTGTATGTGTGTATATTTATTTCTAAAATCCTATTTGTGTAATTCCAGTAATCATTTAATAAGTTTTTATTCCGAGCAAAAACAGGTTTTTTGCATTTTTCTTTGAAATCTCGATATAGTTACATGAAATGTCCAACAGTATTTATTTTAAACAATAATTTTATAGAAATCCTACTTCCAGCATGTCTCTAATTAAAACTTTTGTATATTCTAAACTCTCAAAATCTCTTTCCTACACTAACTTCTCTGTAACATGGTATATACTGCCTGATGAAGGGTATCTGCCCCAAAATATTGCACTAAAAAGTAAAGTTTCATTTAGATGTGTGAGATAGCCTATTTATTTACCTGAAATGTTTGTTCTGACATTTTGCAAAAAATTATTTTCTACAGGCTGAGCACGATTGATGAGTACACTCAAAAATGACTAAGTTCAATATTAATATGTACAAGGTTTCTTTTACATTTTTATCATGTAATCACCTGAATGTTATCACCAAGTATAATTAGAATAAGGTAATTTTTTCCATGTAATTAGGCTTTTGTGAAAGAATTTAGGTAGATTCCTTGAACTGGATGTCTGACTTTCTAGCTTTTGCTGAAAATCTTAATCTAACAATTTTTA